CCCACAGAGCGGTGTCACCCCGGGGAGGAATGACCTCCGATTCATCAAGCTGCCCGTGGAACTGTCCGCAGGGTGACAACGCCGCCGTGCAATTTCACTTCAGAACAAACTGCGTTGTCACCCTGTTACAGGAAGGGGGCGGGGCTTATCCCTCTTACCTGCTTGTTGCCATCCTGGGGGCCGGACTGCAGGGCCCAGGCTGAGATGACGTTGAAGGCTTTGATGACGGTGGAGCGCGGGAAGAGCGCCGCCAGGAACTCCGCGTTGGACTCTCGGCCGACATTGATCTCCGGATTGTTACTGACGTCCACCAGAATCTTCCCGGCAAGCTCCTCCTCCAGAGCGTTCAGGGCGGAGTAATGATCCCGGAAGACGGCCACAAAGATCACCTCCGAGCGCCGGACCGCGTCCGCCTGGAAGGTCACCTCGGCGTCGGCAGGGAAGAGGGCGGAGCTACGCTTGGGGTTCCGGCTCCCCACCACCACCTTTTGAATGCCGATGGTGTCCCCGCAGGGGAGGGGCCCCCGGGGGTCACCGCGCTCACCCGACAGCAGAGGCTTCGCCATGTCCGAGTTCACCATACCTGAGGACGGACATTCAGATTAGTGCGGAGACGGACGAGGGAGAGGACGGACATGACACGGGTCTGCCATTGTGGGCGGAGACAGACGAGGGAGAGGACGGACATGACACGGGTCTGCCATTGTGGGCGGAGACAGACGAGGGAGAGGACGGACATGACACGGGTCTGCCATTGTGGGCGGAGACAGACGAGGGAGAGGACGGACATGACACGGGTCTGCCATTGTGGGCGGAGACAGACGAGGGAGAGGACGGACATGACACGGGTCTTCCTCACATCGGGAGGGGGAGGGCCCCTGGGGGCGGGGCATGGGGGGGGGGGCTACAAGTGGAGATATGGAGCTGCCATGCGCCGTGTCCCTGTACAATGATGTCGGACCAACCTGATTATTGGTGGAGACGATACAATGTCGCCCGACGACCCCGAACATCCGACCGACCGATGTCTGATGAGAAAACGATAACAGCGAAGTCGTGTTGCTATCTGTTCGGCGTCCTCCTCATCCTCGGCTTCATATCACACCGTCCGGGATGGAGATACAAAGTCTCACTACTTCCGGTGGAGTTCAGAAAGTTTCCTCCTCTCTCCGGATCACCTCTCCGAACTTACCCGCGGGTCACGTGTCACTCCGTGCAGTTCCGGGAACACGTGACCCCTCTCACACCCCCCTACTGTCACCCAGAACACCCGGAGGGGGCGGAGCCTCCGAAGAACGATATGGATACAAAGTATCGGTGTTGGGTGGGCGTGTCCTCCCCGCGCTGCCCGAACCGTCTGTCCACACACCCCAAAATCCGCGATATACACCCCGATATATTCCTCTATACAACCCGATATACTCCTCTATATACCCCGATATACTCCTCTATACACCCCGATATACTCCTCTATACACCCCGATATACTCCTCTATATACCCCGATATACTCCTCTATACACCCCGATATACTCCTCTATACACCCCGATATATTCCTCTATACACCCCGATATACTCCTCTATACATCCCGCTATACTCCTCTATATACCCCGATATACTCCTCTATACACCCCGATATACTCCTCTATACACCCCGATATATTCCTCTATACACCCCGATATACTCCTCTATACACCCCGATATACTCCTCTATATACCCCGATATACTCCTCTATACACCCCGATATACTCCTCTATACACCCCGATATATTCCTCTATACACCCCGATATACTCCTCTATACACCCCGATATCATCCTCTGTCTACGCCGATATACTC